CTTCAGATCAACAGGACAAGATGAGACCAGCATCACTCTGCAGTGGAATAAAGTGAACAACAACGTCAGCTTCATTCTCCAGTTTAATGGGGGAGAGAGAAGCATCAGTCCACCATCTGGAGGTGGACCAATAAATCACACAGTCTCATTGCTCCTTTCTGGAACTGAATACACATTCACTCTGTTCTCTGTGTTTGAGAACGTCAGAAGCAGTGGAGTCAGCATTACTGCATTTACCAGTAAGTTCTACAATTTTAGAGAGAAGCACTGTTGTAAATGAGTAAGTCATTATGTAAGCTTCAGTAGGATAGTGTAAAGTTATAATGTGTTTGTATAATATTCTGTCGGTTGCCCACTTCTTTTTCTACACGCTGGATGTATTTCAAATCATGTACTGTTTTGTAGACACACTCCTTCGTTTATCCACTTACACGGTAGTAATCTTGCTCAAAGTAATTAAAATGTTCAGTGTGTCTGTCATAAGCGCATCACAACAATACAAAATGCAGTGAGGAAACTTTACCAATGTGTAATTGTGATCGAAAAGAAGGCTGAGCTACAAGATGGATGTGATCTGAATGTTAACAGAGGATTCATGGGTCAGAATGTGCACATGTGGGCATCACAGCTGATCTGATCCCGTCACAAGATTGTCCCTAGTTTCATACTTTGGATAATGTTTCATGAATAAGCTGGAAAATTAAGTATGAACTAATCAGAATTTTCTTTTATTTATATTAACAACCTCTCAAAGTCTGTTTTCTGCTGTTGTCAGGCTGCTTGCAGGTACAGATTATTCAACAATTTCCCTAAGGTTTCCACCAAAGGGACCAATAAAGTTCTATTCTATTCTATTAGATCAGAAAATCTCATCAAGGAGTAAGAAGTTTTGTAAAATTCAACAGTAATGTGGCTGAACCCAGCTGATTCACAGTGCCTCTTTTCATTCACAGTAAAATAATACAGAAAGTCTACATACATTATATAGCACTGAGTACTACAAAAACTGAATATGTTCCGTTTCAGGAGGACGGACTCGTCACTATGTCTTTGTGGAAACGCCACAGAACTGGACGAATGCTCAGAGTATCTGCAGACGTGACTACACTGATCTGGCCACCATAGAAAACACAGCTGACGTTGATGACGTTACGAACACCGCATCAAATTATACAGGTGAGTTTTCTAGTATTACACACGTAACATATGCAGACTGTAATGATACTGTAGCCAACAGCCAGGCAGCACCCAAGTGTTTGATTAACTTAATAGGAATCCAGTAAAATATGAACTGTAATGTGGATTGAGAAAGCATCACATTCAATCAGCATTTGAGAACATGTTTCACTGCAGAGTTTTTTTGTTTGTTGTTTTTTTTGCTTTTTGAACAGGCAAAGCTTGGATAGGTCTCTACATTACCAGTTGGAGATGGTCCCTAAATGACAGCAGCTTCTATGGTGCAGGAGAGGAAACCTATAGAAACTGGTATTACAATCGGTCCTATGGTTTTAGTGGACAACAGGAATGTGTAGCTATGCTCAGTGGAATCCCATACAATGGCACATGGTATATGAACTTTGGCTGCGACACAACACTGAACTTTGTTTGCTACAGAGGTGAGTTTTTACAGTGAATTGACTAAGCATTGTGAAGAATTAATTAAAAAGGCCAAATGTGTCTTCTTCATAGCATTTCCAGAAACATGTACACATCTGATATGTGGAAATGATATGAGCAATATTTTATCCCAATATTTACAATCATTAAACCTATTATCAGATCTTCTACTTTTTATAACTGAGAGCACAGCATGCACTGTAGCAAATTCTGATGCTGTTCATTACTTTTTTTCCATCCAGGTACAGTGAATGGCACAGCATCCTTTGTTCGGGTTGATATACCTTTAAGCTGGACTGATGCTCAGAGATTCTGCAGGGAGAATTATGTTGATCTAGCCAGGTACAGTGTACACAGATGAAGACACCGTGACTTAATGCACAACTGAACAGAACACTCAGGCAATGTGGTTGAGATCAGTTCCAAATCATTAATACGAATATTTTCTTGCGTCCTAATATGTGCATGACAAATGTGTGCATAGTCCTGTAAAATATTGCAATCGCTTTATGATGCTATTAACTCTGTGCCTTGGCGTATCATCAGACAAAACCTTAATTTTTGTCATGAAATTTTTGGTTTGATCATATTATTTCAATACACTTTCACAGTGTCTTAGAAATGTTACCTGTTTTGTACAGATGGAAGAGGTCATTAGTATTTAGGGTTAATTTATTATACATACCAATAGACTGATGGAACTCCACAGTTCAAATAGTTTATGAGTGTTGTATTAGACTGGTGATGTTCCAATGATGATTGAAATGTTGTTACCTAAACACATCGAGCACAGTGTGATAGTTTCAACTGTACTTTTTCGTGTTAGTAATTATACGTTTAATTATAAAGTGGACTTTTTAGTGTTTATTTTTTAACCTCATCAGTTAATCTTAATGTTTATTTGCTACTCTTCTCCCCACAGCATTCGAAATTCCACAGAAAATCTCATTGTCAGAAACATAGCAGGGGGAAATTTTGTGTGGATCGGTTTGTATCGCCAACAGTTGTGGTCTGATGGGAGCAACTCTCTGTTTCGACACTGGGCTGTCGGGCAACCAGATTCTACCATCAAGCAGTGTGGCGCTGCACAATTCAACAACTCAGGACGCTGGTCACATGAAGACTGCTCCCGCAGTTTACCGTTCGTCTGTTTCAACACATGTAATGTGTCCAATTTCTGCTCTCATATACTGCACGAGGAGGAGGGGTCATCAGATAGATGGATAAATAGATAGATAGATAGTCAGTTCTCAGTGGGTTCAAACTCCTGCCAAGCACAGAACCAGTCTTCTTCACCAGCTTGTCCAGCCACCTAGTTTTACTCCCTCGATGTTGCCACCCCAACAAAGCACAGCATAAAAAACAACACAACTCCCACTAACTGGAAGAACATACAGCATTTCCCTGGGTACATCGAAGGATCTTAATCCCCTGCGAAAGAACAACCGGCTCTGCCCCTTCAAGTACAGGATATCTGTGTCTAGTTGGTTGTCAAGGTGCAAACCAAAGCATTTATGGGTTCCCTGTCCTCACCTTTATACCCATTCTTGATACATGCCACAATAGCTGTATTATTAACATATTTCTGAATGTGGCAGGATTCAGATCTGTATGTCCGCTGTGTACAGTGTGAACAGTAGTGGAGCTAAAAAAAAAAAAAAAAAATGTGTTCCTCATCACCGTCCCAGAGACACAATTCCCCAGCCTAACAAACTCTGGTTTTTCTGTCTGATAGTCTGCAGTCCAGGAAGTGAGGCACTTTTGAGATCAAACTTGCAGAATAAATGAAAGTGTGAAGATTTAGGTGACTGAGTTTGTGTGCTTCAACAACTCTGTTAAAAATGAAATAAAAGCACAATATCTGTGAGGTGAATGTTTGCCATCGATGATAAAACTAAACCAAAAAAATCTAGTTGTACACAATCAATACTCTCTGCTTTTCTCTAATCTTAAAATCACTAAAGATAAAACTTTTTAACATTTTGGACTAATGGGCAGAGCACCACTATAGTTTCTGTACTTAAATGCCCCAAATGACTGTGACAATCTAATCTGAGGAACCATACAGCAGACTGAACCTCCACTACAATGGTAGCAAATTAATTAGCTAGTTTAGGGATGAGGATGGACCATCACAATGATTATGTCACTGCTGTGGCACATCAACATGAACCAAAAGATCATATATGTTCTGTCTTTGTCTCAGTTCCACCCAATGCGGAAGGCTTCAGGACCACAGGACAAGACGAGACCAGCATCACTCTACAGTGGAATAAAGTGAACAACAAAGTCAGCTTCATTCTGCAGTTTAATGGGACAGAGACAAACATCAGTGCACCAGCTGGAGATGGACCAATAAATCACACAATCTCATCTCTCACTGCTGGAACTGAATACGCATTCACTCTGTTCTCTGTGTTTGAGAACATCAGAAGCAGTGGAGTCAACATTACTGCAGTCACTGGTGAGATAATTCATTAATGTCTACTGCT